GTGAGTCTGCTCTCTCAGGTACCACGTCGGCTCAGGCCTTGCACACCTTCACCCTTGACTCGGGTGCTTGCCGCTCCTTCTTTCGAGACCGCACCACACTTACGCCGCTTAGTCGGCCGGTTGCGGTCTCCCTGGCGGACCCCTCTGGGGGTCCTGTCCTTGCTAGCTTCTCCACTGTCTTACCGTGTCCGGCAGCCCCCTCTGGCACCCTGACAAGGCTCTACCTCCCCTCGTTCTCTACGAACTTGGTGAGTGGAGCTGATCTACAGGATCGGGGGGTTGACCAGTTCACGCCTGCGAGTCAGCGGGTGACCCACTGTACGTGTGCTTGGACGGGCCGACACTTGGCCACGTTTACCCGTCAGGCGGGGTCGAGCCTGTACACACTGACCACTGAGTCTCCTCCTGTTGCTGAGTCTAGCCAGGTAGCTGAGTCTCCTCTGCCCGTTTGGGAGCCTTCTGTCGTGCACAGGGCATCCGCCAGACCTTCACGCTTCCGGCCTCTCCACAGCAAAATGGGATTGCTGAGCGCCGCATTGGCATGGTCATGGACGTTGCTCGTACGTCCATGATCCATGCAACTGCTCCCCATTTTCTTTGGCCGTTTGCGGTTCAGTACGCGGCGCATCAGCTCAACCTTCAGCCCCGGGTCTCCTTGCCAGAGACCTCCCCCACCTTGCGGTGGATGGGGAAGGTTGGCGATGCGTCTGCGTTCCGGGTCTGGGGATCTCGGGCGTTTGTCCGCAACTTGTCTGCGGACAAGCTGTCCCCCCGTGCCGTTCCCTACGTCTTCCTTGGCTTCCCCCCTAACGCGCCTGGTTGGCGGTTCTACCACCCCACCTCGTGCCGTGTTCTGTCCTCCCAGGACGTCACCTTTGACGATTCGGTGCCGTACTACCGTCTCTTCCCCTACCGCACCGCGCCCCTCCCCCCGCCGCCACTCTTCCTTGCGCCAGGTCCTCCCTCGGTAGACCCCCTCCCCCCTCAGAGTCTTGCCCCGTCAGGTGTGTCCTAGGTAGACGCAGTTGAGCCTGTCGAGGTAGCTGTTGACTCTGGTGCTGCTAGGGGCGTTGTGCCTGCGGGTGCCGGGTCTGGGGGTGCGGAGCCTGGGGGTGCTGAGTCTCGGGGCGCTGAGCCTGGGGGTGCTGCGTCTGGGGGTGCTAAGACTGGGGGTGCGGAGCCTGGGGGTGCTGGGCCTGGGGGCGCGGAGCCTGGGGGTGCTAAGCCTGGGGGTGCGGAGCCTGGGGGTGCTGGGTCTACTCGTGTGGCCTTTAGCGGTACCTCGTCAAGGCGGGAGCTACTCTCTCCGCAGGAGCTGTGCGATTGGTTTGCCAGGCGCTGGAGCCGTGCTGCTAGAGCTGGAGGTCCTACTGTTGCTGCTGGTCCTAGAGGTGCTTGTCCTGGCGGTTCTGGAGCTGCTGGGACTGGGAGTCCTCCTGGAGGTGCTACTGGAGCTGGTGCTGCTGGAGCTGCAGGAGCTGCTCGACAGGAGCTGCTGGAGCTAGAGTTGCTGGGGGTGTTGGCGTTGGTGGTTCTACTAGCGCTGGTGCTTCTGAGGGTGCTGGAGTTGGCGCTGTTGGAGCTGGAGATGCTGTTGGCGCTGGTGCTGCCGCTGGGGGTACTGGTGCTGTCCCTGCTGGTTCTGGAGGCGCTGCGCGGCCGAGGCCGTACTTGGTTCCGCTCCTTGAGCACGTTCTTGGTCTCCCGCCCTCTACTGGTCCTGCTCCTCCCTTAGCATGTCCACAGGCTGTCCAGTCGCGGTCATAGTTACAGCTCGCCTCCCCCCTACCTGCTCCTTCTCCCTACACTGGTCCTACTGGAGGTCTTGCTGAGCGTCGTGAGCCTGCGTCTCGTCCTGCGTCGCCTGTTCGTGCTGCTTGCACTAGTGGTCGTGCTCCGCATCCGTGTCCTCCTACGCTCCCAGGCACACACCAGATGGCACTGCGTCCTTCCACTGCTCCCCTGCGTGTCCCGTTGCTGTCTCCTCCTGATTCCTCTCTTCCTACTTTTGCTGACCCTGAGTCTGACTCTCTTCGTGCTGCCAGTCCTACTGTCACGCGTCTCCTGGCTACTGCTGTCACTGACCCCTCTTTTGAGTCCACTACTGCGTCTGCCTTAGTTGCTGAGCTTGTCGACTTTGATGCTTGCTGTCGTCTAGACTACGCTGCTAGTCTTGTTGCTGAGTCTGAGTCTGTCTGTCCTCCGTCCGTCGGGGGTGAGTGTGCTCTTAGCACGGACGTCCTTGAGGACAGGCAGGAGGAGTTCCAGTGTTTTGCTGCTGCTTTAGCTTATCTCATGTCCACGCTGATTGCCCCCGAGGGAGACCCGGATGCACCAGACATCCCAACTCCTCGATCGTATGCTAAGGCGATCGAGGGTCCCTACTCCTCACAGTGGCAGTCTGCCATGGACGCAGAGATGGCTTCCTGGAAGTCCACAGGCACCTACGTTGACGAGTTTCCCCCACCTGGGGCGAACATCGTCAGTGGCATGTGGATTTTCAGTTTGAAGCGGCCGCCGGGTTCTCCACCTGTCTTCAAGGCGCGTTACGTGGCTCAAGGCTTCAGTCAGCGGTAGGGAGTGGACTAATTTCAGACCTTCTCCCCTACCCCGAAGATGACCACTCTTCGGGTGCTGCTGCACATAGCCGCTCAGCGCGACTACGAGCTTCACTCTCTTGACTTCAGCACAGCTTTCTTGCAGGGCAGCTTGCACGAGGAGATCTTGCTGCGCCGCCCACCTGGCCTCACTGGGTCGTTCCCTCGTGGTACCCAGTGGAGCCTCCGGCGGCCAGTCTACGGTCTCCGCCAGGCGCCCCGTGAGTGGCACGACACACTGAGGTCTACACTTGCGGCTCTTGGGTTTGCTCCTTCTACTGCCGACCCGTCGTTGTTTCTGCGCACCGACACCTCTTTGCTGCCGTTCTACATCCTCGTGTACGTCGACGACTTGGTCTTTGCCACTGCTGACACTGCTGGACTCGCCCACGTGAAGTCAGAGCTGCAGAAGAGACACACGTGCACAAACCTGGGTGAACTGCGCAGCTACCTTAGCTTGCAGATCACCCGGGACAGAGCACGCCGCACCATTACCCTGACTCAGTCACACATGGTGCAGCAGGTCCTTCAGCGCTTCGGCTTCACGTACTCCTCGCCTCAGGCCACTCCTCTGTCTACTCGCCACTCGCTCTCAGCTCTGCCTTCGGATGAGTCCGTAGAGTCGAGTGGCTCATACCCAGAGCTTGTTGGCTGCCTCATGTACCTGAGGACCTGCACACGACCTGACCTTGCATACCCTCTTAGCATTCTCGCACGCTATGTTGCTCCTGGGAGACACAGACCGGAGAACATGGCTGCAGCGAAGAGGGTGTTGCGCTACTTGTGCAGTACGTCGGGCATGGGGCTTGTGCTTGGAGGGCGGAGTCCAGTGGTCCTCACTGGGCACGCAGACGCTTCTTGGGCTGACGACCAGGCTACGCAGCGGTCGTTACAGGGTTACACCTTCAGCCTTGGTTCTGGCTCTGTTTCGTGGCGGGCTACCCGCTCGTCTTCTGTTCTCGGCTCCAGTTGTGAGGCTGAGATCTACGCATGAGCCATGGCTGCACAGGAGCTTCGCTGGCTCACCTACCTGCTGATTGACCTCGGAGAGCCGCCTTGTTCTCCTCCAGTACTGTACGTAGACAACAAGGCCATGCTGGCCTTGTGTCGAGAGCAGAGACTGGAGCACAGAACCAAGCACATTGCTCTCCGCTACTTCCTTGCTCGTGAGCTACAGTAGCGTGGTCAGCTGCGGCTTGTGTACGTGGCCTCTGAGGCCAACACTGCTGATATCTTCACCAAGGCACTTGCGCCTTGTGATCATCAGCGCTTCTGTACTCAGCTGGGTCTTGTGCCTACCTTGCCTCACTTGCTCACCCCTTGACCTTGTTTGTACTTTTACATATATATATATACACCTGCTCTTGCTTGTCTAGCCTTATATATATATGTAATCCTGCATTTGAACTGGCCTTGTGGCCTTAAACTTGTGCTCGGAATGTGTGGTGACTTTGTGATCCACCCTGAGCTTGCTTTGCTTGACTGGTCTTGTGACCCCTTGTTCTCCCCCACTTTGCCTATGGGGGTGTGTCAGATTTATATGACATAGCTACTGTAGGCTATAGTGGGGTAGCACATATGGGGTACAGATTTCTAGGGTTTGTACTTGTGCCCAACTTTCACTTAGTCATTTCATTCTCGTTCATTTTCTCACATCACTGCCAAGTTGCAAAACCAAATTATCTAAAAAGTAACTTCTTTGCAAGTTTCCCGCAGCCTACAGGCAAGTCCTTTTTCGCGATGTCATTTCTCGCCCATCTGTACCACGCCGCCACTCTCGTCTGGCGGCCGGTGTGGAACGCTAGTGGCAGTGGCAGTGGCGGTGGCGGTGGTGGTGATGGTGACGGTGATGGCATTGCTGAAAGCTTAGGCCGCAGTAGCAGTGGTAGCGGCAGCGGCAGCGCAAGTGATAGCATGAGTGGCAATGAGTGGAAGACAGTAGAGGTTGCTCTTCGCAAGGACAGTGTTGACGGCTTTGGAAGCGCTACTGCTGCTGCTGAGGGCGCTGGTTCCAGTGAGACTGTAGGTGTCGGCATTGCTGCCCATCCTGCCGCCGCTGCCCTGGAAACATTCGCCCTTTCTTCATTGCCACCCCCCTTGGTTGAGCTGTCTATCGCAGCACCGCTGGTGTCAGTGGCGTCAGCAGCACTTGCATAGCTGGCAGGAGCTGCACTACCGACAGAATCAGTGGTTCCAACGGAATAATACCCAACCTCCTCACAATCCCCGCCCTCACAATCCCCTCTCTCTCGCTCTCCAACTTCTCAGTCCCCGCCGTCTTTACCACCGCACACCCTGTCACCACCAGCATCCCTTCCAGCCCCCGCAGCAGCATTGCCAGCAGAAGCAGCTGCAGCCACAAAGTCAGAATTGTTACCATCATCAGCAACAGCAGCAGCATCAATGTTTGCATCACATTCACAATGCACATCCCCATCATCCCGCGACGGGGCGCTCTACATCCCCATGACTGCCATAAGCGGGTGGATGGACCCTCACCCCGTCGTCCCCTCGGCCAATGCTAGCCTGGCTGCTGACGTCATTGCCAACGTGGCAGCTGACGTGGCGAAGAGTGAGGGCGTTCCCAGCGAGCCCCTCCTGGGCGCGTCGTGGAGCCCCGACGGCATAAAGTACCTTCTGGCGCTCTGCTCCACTGGCGGGGTGAGTAGCGCACTGCTCCACTGGCAAGGTGAGTTGCGCTCTGCTCCATTGGCAGGGTGAGTTGCGCTCTGCTCCACTGGCGGAGCAGGGTTTATGTTTGAGTAATGCTCCGCGCTCGTTGCATGTGTGATGTCAGAGGGAGAGGAAGGAGATGCTCTGGCTGGTGGTGGGGTGAGTAGCACTCGCTGCATGGCTGGATAATGGACGCTCTACTATGCCCTGCTTTGCATGAGGTGATGTTGAAGGGACGGGCAGGGAAGAGCATGCGCGCTTGAATCATCACGCACCCGCCGCCTGGCTCTCTCTCTCCCTCTACCACTTTTATTTCCCTGCCCCTGCGTGCATTACACCAATCAGAGAAAAGTGCCACTGTGCCACCATGCCCATGTCTAACCACGTCTTTTTCCGCTCCACTCTCCTCTTTATTCACCTCTCCATGCGCCCGTGTCTGCGTGCTCCATGCGCTCCGCTCCACTGACGAGGTGAGTGGCGCCTTCAGCCCTGCTTGCTCTACATCTGTGCATATGCATTGTCAAAGGCGTGAAGGGAAGGGAAGGGCACGGCGCACTCAATGCACCCGCATGGGTCTTCCCCTCTTGCAATTTTCCCCAGTTTCCTCGCCCCTCTGTTTGTCGGAGACAAGCGCCACTGTGCCACAAGCAATGCTCTTGTCCACCTGCTCCCTTGCTTCACAATTGTCCCTATAGTGCCCTCCGTGCGTCCTTGCCTATGTGCCAGCCCATGCAGATGTTCAATCCAACCGTTTCTTCTGTCATTAGGCACCTACGGAGTGTTCATCCCCTGCCCTGCACTTTATGCGCCCTCCATGCGCCCCTCCATGCATCCCTCCCTGTGTGCCCGTCACCCCACGCAGATGTCCAACCATCTCTTCTGTCTGCGAGAGTTCACTCTGCTGGCAGGCGCTCTCAACCAAACGATCGTGGTGCCCACGGGGCCTCACGAGGTACGCCGCCCTGCCCTGCCCTGCCATGCCCTGCTACTCCTTGCCTTTCCTTGCGTTTTTGCCGTCCCACTGCCCGTGGCATATGCTGCATTGTCGTTGTACCATGGCGTGTGATGGGGTTGGGGGTATGACTGTTTTTTAGGCTCAGCAAGTACCACTGGTCCTAACAAATGATCAGCTACATGTTTGCTAGGTGCCGTCCCTCGTACACTCTTTCAAATATGTTCTGATTGTGTCGCCGTTTTCTTACCCTTTTGCCTTGCGCTGCGCTGCTCCTCACTGCAACCCCTCCTCAAACCCCACCTTCCCTCTGATGCATCTTGGTTTCCCCCGATGCACACCAGCTGGCCATGCCTGTCTCCCTCGTGTTTGACGTGCCCTTCCTGTGTGCCTGCTATGGTCCCAAGACCGCCCTCAATCTGGACGAGTACAAGCAGTTCGTAAGTGCTGTGCTGTAGTTGCCTTGCCTTGTCCCATGCCATGCCATGCGACGAGTACAAGCAGTTCGTGAGTCCGTGTCCCACATTCCATGGCCTGTGTGTGTGCCCTGAAATCACACTGACGAGGCAGGTCCTGCTTATTCCACCGCTGCCTGCCTCGTCAGTGTGATCTAATGCGATGTGATGCCATGTCATGTCGTGTCATGTTATGTATGTGTGATGTCATGTCACAACACAACCATGTGTTGTAATATAATGTACTGTGGCAACTCATGTCATTGTAACGTAACCATGTCATGTCATGTGATGGTCATGCCACTTCATCTCCTCATTCCACCTTGTGTCAAACCATGTCCTGTCTTACTGCTGCACAGCACAGCTGCTTGCATGCACCATTCGGGTTGTCATGTCACAACGTGCCTGCCCCTTCCTCCGATCTGCCTCCGCCCATACCATCCATCTGCCTCCCCATCCGTCTGTCCCCCACCATCCACCTGGCCACGCCCCCGCAGGTGGGCAGGGGCAACATGGAGGTCACCCATGAGCTGTGCCTCGTCAATTCAATGCCTGCGTGCTTGCCACCACGTGCCCCTGCCACCACGTGCCCTTGCCACCACGTGCCCCTGCCACCACATGCCCCTGCCACCACGTGCCCCTGCCACCACGTGCCCCTGCCACCACGTGCCCCTGCCATCACGTGCCCCTGCCACCACGTGCCCCTCCACCTCGTGCCCCTGCCACCTCGTGCCCCTGCCACCACGTGCCCCTGCCACCACGTGCCCCTGCCACCACGTGCCCCTGCCACCACGTGCCCCTGCCACCACGTGCCCCTGCCACCACGTGCCCCTGCCACCTCGTGCCCCTGCCACCACGTGCCCCTGCCACCACGTGCCCCTGCCACCACGTGCCCCTGCCACCACGTGCCCCTGCCACCACGTGCCCCTGCCACCACGTGCCCCTGCCACCACGTGCCCCTGCCACCACGTGCCCCTGCCACCACGTGCCCCTGCCACCACGTGCCCCTGCCACCACGTGCCCCTCCACCACGTGCCCCTGCCACCACGTGCCCCTGCCACCACGTGCCCCTGCCACCACGTGCCCCTGCCACCACGTGCCCCTGCCACCACGTGCCCCTGCCACCACGTGCCCCTGCCACCACGTGCCCCTGCCACCACGTGCCCCTGCCACCACGTGCCCCTGCCACCACGTGCCCTTGCCACCACGTGCCCCTGCCACCACGTGCCCCTACTTCCTTCCCTGCCACTGGCCCTCTCTTACCAGGTATAACCAGCCACTTTTCCCTCTCTTCACCACCTGTCCCTGCGTCAACCACTTGTCAATGCCCCCAACCCACCCCCCTCATCCGCGTGTCACCCCCTCCAGGTGGGCAGGGGCAGCATGCAGGTGACCCATGAGTTGTGCCAGCAGATCGTTAGACATATCATCTGACTGTACCCACATCCCCCACCTCCTGCTGGTGGGCAGGGGCAGCATGCAGGTGACCCACGTGCTGTGCCTCGTCAAGGGCTGCCACCTAGTGCCTGGCGCTGGTGAGACACACCAGAGGGGAATGGAGCGAGAGGAACAGGGAAGGGGGAGGGAGCGCGGGGAGGAAGGGAGGAAGGGCGGTGGGGTTGGGGGGGATGGGAGGGGTATTGAGGGGGCTGGTTGGGGGGATGAGGTTGGAGAGGGGGGGAAACCCCGGCGAAAGGGGAAGAGGAGATAAGCCTCCTATCAGAGGCACCCTTCCTCCTGTGTATATCACTTCTACGCATTCACAGAAAAATTATACACCTATCCCGCAAACCGGCGGGTTGAAAGGGGCATAATGGAGTGGGTGGGACAGCACTCATACCACGCAGGACTGAACCTATAACCCTTACACAATCTCTGGCTTGGTTACCATAACCGCTTTGATACCATGGCATTGACACCCAAAACGCCTAGCATGGGCATCCAGCGTACGGTTGCAACGTCCAGCCTCCCTTGTTTTTGTTTTCGCCTGCCCGACGGGTTTTTTTGCCCGCCCCGGCGAGCGTCTCCTTAGTGGCGTACTTTCCCTCAGAGTCTAAGACACAAGCATGCGGAGTCTGGACGCTAGAGGCATCCACTCCTCCACGGTACCCATGGTTGGAACAGAGAGCCGAGGGAGCTAAGATTGGGCCATCCCACCTAGTGGACCAAGGAGCAACAGCAGACAAGTGGGTAGCAGCGCAGCGACTATGAAAACGATTCCCTATTTTACCTTGGTCGGTCCGTTTTCCCTTGTTTCTTTCAGTTCCACTTCTCTCCCCCATCTCTCCCCCCTTCCCTCTCCCATTTTTTTGCCTTCCAACCCTCCTCCACCTACCCCCGACCTGCAGCACCAGGAGGGCAATTCGTGGCGAGGAAGGGGCGCATCAGCCTGGCGAATGTGACGGTGCCGGCAGTGAAGCGGTGGGCGTGGTCTGGCCTGCCGGAATAACACTCTCTGCAAGTTGGGCATGGGCAGGCCTCCAGTGCTGTGTGCTGGGCTGGGCTGGGCTGTGCTTGAGGGCTGCGTTGCTTGAGAATTATGGCTGGACCCGAGTGTAGTGTGCAACCGGGGGGTTGTACCTTGGGATACCTTGAGCAACGTGTTGTGAATGTGAAGTGTTTTTTTCAGGCACCTCAAACATAGGCTCGAGTGGCGTGTGCGGCCGGGGGATTTTCCCTTGAGCAATGTGTTGTGAATGTGAAGTGAAGTTGCGTTGGAGTGTGTGTGTGTGTGTGTGTGTGTGTGTGTGTGTGTGTGTGTGTGTGTGTGTGTGTGTGTGTGTGTGTGTGTGTGTGTGTGTGTGTGTGTGTGTGTGTGTGTGTGTGTGTGTGTGTGTGTGTGTGTGTGTGTGTGTGTGTGTGTGTGTGTGTGTGTGTGTGTGTGTGTGTGTGTGTGTGTGTGTGTGTGTGTGTGTGTGTGTGTGTGTGTGTGTGTGTGTGTGTGTGTGTGTGTGTGTGTGTGTGTGTGTGTGTGTGTGTGTGTGTGTGTGTGTGTGTGTGTGTGTGTGTGTGTGTGTGTGTGTGTGTGTGTGTGTGTGTTGTGGTGTGTGTGTGTGTGTGTGTGTGTGTGTGTGTGTGTGTGTGTGTGTGTGTGTGTGTGTGTGTGTGTGTGTGTGTGTGTGTGTGTGTTGTGTGTGTGTGTGTGTGTGTGTGTGTGTGTGTGTGTGTGTGTGTGTGTGTGTGTGTGTGTGTGTGTGTGTGTGTGTGTGTGTGTGTGTGTGTGTGTGTGTGTGTGTGTGTGTGTGTGTGTGTGTGTGTGTGTGTGTGTGTGTGTGTGTGGTGTGTGTGTGTGTGTGTGTGTGTGTGTGTGTGTGTGTGTGTGTGTGTGTGTGTGTGTGTGTGTGTGTGTGTGTGTGTGTGTGTGTGTGTGTGTGTGTGTGTGTGTGTGTGTGTGTGTGTGTGTGTGTGTGTGTGTGTGTGTGTGTGTGTGTGTGTGTGTGTGTGTGTGTGTGTGTGTGTGTGTGTGTGTGTGTGTGTGTGTGTGTGTGTGTGTGTGTGTGTGTGTGTGTGTGTGTGTGTGTGTGTGTGTGTGTGTGTGTGTGTGTGTGTGTGTGTGTGTGTGTGTGTGTGTGTGTGTGTGTGTGTGTGTGTGTGTGTGTGTGTGTGTGTGTGTGTGTGTGGTGTGTGTGTGTGTGTGTGTGTGTGTGTGTGTGTGTGTGTGTGTGTGTGTGTGTGTGTGTGTGTGTGTGTGTGTGTGTGTGTGTGTGTGTGTGTGTGTGTGTGTGTGTGTGTGTGTGTGTGTGTGTGTGTGTGTATGTGTTTGGACCCCGGCTGGGTCCAAATGTTGTTTTGCTGTGCTGTGTGCCTTAGCGCCTGCTGTGTGTATCTAGCGCCTGCTGTGTGCCTCTAGCACCTGCTGTGCCTGCGATGGTGCAGTAGAGGAGATTTGTGTCGCATCCTGTGGTGTGGTGTGGTGTGGTGTGGTTTGGTGTGGTGTGGTGTGGTCTCGTGTGGTGGGTTTGGGAAATGCTGGTGCGATGTGGTATGGTGTGGTGTGGAGTTGTGTGGTGGTGTATGAACCAATCGGACGTAGCATGCGAGCAGAGAGGCCTTTGTGATGTGTCTGTTGCATCCATGTGAGCAGAGGGGCCTTTGTGATGTGTCTGTCGCATCCATGCGAGCAGAGGGGCCTTTGTGATGTGTCTGTCGCATCCATCCAAGCAGAGGGGCCTTTGTGATGTGTCTGTCGCATCCATGCGAGCAGAGGGGCCTTTGTGATGTGTCTGTCGCATCCATGCGAGCAGAGAGGCCTTTGTGATGTGTCTGTCACATCCATGCGAGCAGAGAGGCCTTTGTGATGTGTCTGTCGCATCCATGCGAGCAGAGGGGCCTTTGTGATGTGTCTGTCGCATCCATGCAAGCAGAGGGGCCTTTGTGATGTGTCTATCGCATCCATGCGAGCAGAGGGGCCTTTGTGATGTGTCTGTCGCATCCATGCGAGAAGAGAGGCCTTTGTGATGTGTCTGTCGCATCCATGCGAGCACTGGCCTTGAGCTTGAACCTCGTCATGTGCTCCCGCCCGAGCGTTGAGTTGAACGACCGGCAGATTTCCAGCAGGGCCGCGTGAAGTGAAGCGTCAAAACGTAGCATTTCAACTCTAGCGTTAAAACCAGTGCTGCCTTCGTCAAATCAAATCCATCCTCTCCTTCTTAAACATGCAATGCAACATCATGCCATGCCATCAGATCCTAACTGCACCCCTATCAACCACACCCCTCTCAACTGCTCCTGGCAGCCTTCATCAAGGTTTAGAGCCGAGTGCCGGATGGTATGCTGGTGATCGGTGAGTTCAGGACGGTGCGTCCCTCCGTCTCTCTCTGTGGCCACTATGCCTGCTGATGCTACCTGATATGACACCTGATATGACACATGATATGCCACCTGATATGCCACCTGATATGCCACCTGATATGCCACCTGATATGCCACCTGATATGTCGCCTGATATGCCACCTGATATGCCACCTAATATGCCACCTGCTGATGCCACCAGCTAGTATCTCCTATTGTGACCCCTCTTCCATGGTGTCAACCTTTGTGTACGTCTCATGTTCACATCCAATTGCATACAACACATATCACACCCTCTAGACTCTAGACCACATGTGTTCCGACTTTTGAGGCGCCTCAAAAGACATCTCTCTACCCACAACAACATCCCACACATCGCATTCCACACCCTACCAGAAATCTAAAACCCCTACTCCTATCCCATCACCGTGTTCCTACTCTTCCCTCCTCTTTCCCCACAGCATCCCATCACGAACTCCATCTTGTCCACATGCTCGCCCCAACGTACCTCCCATCCCTGCTGCCTCGGTCCCTTCACGCTTTTCAAATCCTCACCCCATGCTTTCTTCCGTAAAATTATGCCGTCTTCCCTTCTCCCTATCCATACCCACATTTCTCCCCACCACAGCAACCTTGCTCTCCAGCCTCTCTACTTCTATCCATCTTGTCATTAGCACCTCTGGGGTCGGTACCAGTCATATTGAGGCCTTATGAACGGTGGGAACTCGAGAAATTGTTTGGAGAGAATTCTGCCAGAAATTTCGAATCTACGAAGTTCGTTGTTGCGGACTGGATATTTTAAATTTGAACGTGGTTCAACCACCAATCCAAAATTCGCGAGCAGAGGTACTAGAAAATGGTCTCACTCGTCAATATTGGTGGAGAATGGATGACAATTCGTCGTCTCAAAATCGACTACCAGCTCTGATACGACTTCTTGTTCAAGATCCGTCACTTTGAGAGCTTACGACGAACTCATTTCTCAACTAAACGCAAATCCGCTCTGTAAGACCGTGCGCCTTAGGCTTCGTTACAATCTCGAATTTGAATCACTTAGAAAGATGGTATAGAGAGTGAGAATCAATTAAAACGTCCAGCAGCCACATGACTAGAATGGTGGAGGAAGTACAAGCATGAAGGCATAGAATGTTGGAGTTGGGAATCTCCAACAGAACCATGAGAAAAAAGGGGTTTTGTAAGAGCTAGAGAATGATGGTATGAACTTCTGCAGCAGCAAGGATGTAACCCTCATCATGAGATCCTTGAGGTGTGACATGCAGAATCCATTCTAGTTGGATTTTGCCTAGGTGTTGGCAATATTTGCAACCCATGCTAGAAACTTCTAGCCACTCCAATCCAGAAGTCAAAGTTGCCTGCCCTAACCACCAGCCAAAGATCTCTTTACATTCATGTCCAAGTAATCACCCAAATTATATATAACGCCTAAGGTAATAAGAAATCCAGGTTTTGGAAACTGGTCAATTTGTCGAACCAAGTCAAACTGGATAGTTTGCTGAACCCAATCAAACCGGTGAAGTGAGTCAATCTGGTAAGTTTGTTGAACCAAGTCAAACTGGTCAGTTTGTTGAACCGAGACAAACTTCCCAGTTTGTTGAACCGAGTCAAACTAGTCAGTTTGTTGAGCCGAGTCAAGC